TTAATATTTATCCCTAAGCAGTAACATTCAATCAAATCCTTTTCCTTCAGCTCAGCAAAACAAACCAGAAAGTTAACCAATTCTGTAACCTTGAATCCTGATGCTACAGTTTTTGCTTTCTGTGCCTTTAAAAGTGCAATGTTTTCATTTCTCTGCAAAAAGTGCTGATCCAGAGAGCACAAGACAACAGCAGTCCTGTGGATATCACTTGTAGGGAAAAAGGAAACGTGAGAGATTAAAGAGACAACTCCCTCATAAGACCACTGATGAAATGCTTCATAGTCTTTTGAACAGGAACTTCTTCGAAATAACAAAAAACAAAACTGAAGATTCGCACAGGCCAAGGTCTAACAGCAGGTTTGTTCTGCAACACTCCCTACCTCGCACAGTTCTTGAAAGCCAATGAAACTGTGAAATCATGGAGCCCGGAGGAGAATAGGAGTCAAGAATTCATCTAATCAGTTTACAGACAAAGAAACTAAGGGTCAGAGGGGAAATGTAACTCCCCCACAGGGATGTGACAGACAATGTTGGGGGCAGATCAGGGGTTCGTCCAGGTGGTCTGACTCCTCCTGTTGAGTGATTTCTGCTGCCCAGCTTAACAGGATCCCCTGTCTACACTCAGGAATACCCTGGAGACCCCTGTGCTTGCTGGAATCAACACAAGTTAACACTGCTTCTGTAGTTTCCTCTTGGGTCCCACTCAGCCATCCCCTACAACTGTACTGCAGACTTCTATCCTCTCTCCAGGTTCCCAGACATTCCAGGATGCTTGGCTTGACTTCTGTCACTGCCTGAGGAGGTAGGCTGAGACTACTCATCCATTTCACTAAGCTACCATTAGAGTGTAAATGAGTTGCTTCTTAGACAATGCCAGTAGACTGAGGTATGGAGCTCCACAGTCCATCACTTACCCACTGAATCATTTCTAGCACTCTGTCAATGAGTCTCTTTCAGACAGAGCAAGCAGAAAAGGCTTGGCTTCGTCCAGGATTCATCTGAGGATTTCTTGCAAAGCCTTAGAAATGCCAAATGGCTATGAGAAAGCCAGAACTAACACAGGTAACATTTTGAGAGCATGTACTGTTTACCAGTCCTTGACCTAAATGGTTCACATATATTTTACTCATGCAGTCCTCACAACCACCCTACAGGCACGTGCTACTACTGTCCCCCATTTTACAGATGGGAAAACTAAGTAACGCTCACACGGTCACGTAACAAATAAGTGGGAAAGATGGAATTGGACCTAGGCAGTCAGACTCTAGGAACTTAGTATTAACCACAAGCTATTCTGTCCTTTGCCTGAGTTAAGACTCTACGAATGGACCTATTTCAAAGCAATCATCATAAAACACTCCTTTCCTTCCCCCTTCCCAAAGAGAGAACATTCCAAAATGTAAGGTTTCCCAAATTTCCTAAAAAGGTCTCAGAGAACCACACAGCCTGTGTAACACTCCATATATACACAGGACTACAATCTGGCAACTCCAAATGTCCAAGGCTGAAGGGGGTGGGGGGACCCTCCAGGAGCTGCTGTGAACGATGAAGGCAGTAAAAACCGGGATAAAGTGTCCAACTGTCTGATACCCAGCCCTTCAGAATGCAGATTGCTGTGACCTGCAGCTTCATATGCAGGAGCACATCTCACAGGATCAAAGCCTCCCACCTGCTTCTGCACAGCTCTACATTAGCTCTCACCAACTGCTGAAACAGAACGTGTTTTGACATGTAGAATACGAGCAGCAAAAAGTCACTCCTTTAATGCGTGCTCTAAAAACCGCACGGGCCCCCTTTTGGAAACAGCCATGTTCTTCTCGGGGTGTAAGTGGCTCTGACACTTTGGTGATACCATATTCCAGGAAAAAAAGCAATTCCAGATCTGTTTTCCTCTCTTTTTTTTTTTTCTGGTGAGAATATTTAAGTTCTACTCTCTTCAGATGTTTCTCTTAAAGCAAAGGGCTCCTAACATTACCCAATACTTTTATAGAGGGAATTTTAATATAACTTCCTAAATATTATACTTCATTTTGCATATCAACAATGTAATAAGCATATCAACAAAGTCCATCCTTGAAAGGGAAACAGTTAAATTAATTGTCCAAGATCCTACAGCTGCTAAACACAAGAGTCGGAATGAGAATTCCTATCTGTATGCCAAAGCACTTTCCCATTAAACTTTTCTATTCTGTGAACTAGAAGAGCATTTTCTTCTCCTTATGTCCCCATGACACAGCTTTGCCTATACTGAAAAAAACTGAACAACTGCAAGAATTACTAGCCATTGACCTTCAGCCACCACCTACCTATACACAGTCTATCACTATGTCTCCGTAAACAAAGAGGATTGCTTTTCAAGCTCGGGTCCTTCATCCCCAAACTTTCTCATGCATTTCCAAGTTGGAAAAATCGTATCCACCCCTGCTGTACACCCTACCACTCCCTGTACACCCTTCCCACTTCCATCCATCCTCAGCACTATCTTTTGGATATGGATGCTTCCCTGCGTAAAGAGTCTGGGGCTCCAACATCATTCATCCATCATCAGGGAAATACAAGTCAAAACTACAATGAGCTATCACCTCACACCTGGCAGAATGGCTAAAGTTAACAACACAAGAAACAACAGGTGTTGGCGAGCATGCGGAGAAAGGGGAACCCTCCTACACTGTTGGTGGGGATGCAAACTGGTGAAGCCACTCTGGAAAACAGTATGGAGGTTCCTCAAAGTTTAAAATAGAGGGGCACCTGGGTGGCCCAGTCAGGTGAGCACCCGACTCTTGATTTTGGCTCAGGTCATCATCTTGGGGCAGTGAGATCGAGCCTCTCATCAGACTCCGTGCTCAATGTAGTCTGCTTGTCCCTCTCCCTCTGCTCCTTGCCCTAGTCACACACTGGCTCACTTTCTCTCTCAAATAAATAAATAAAATCTTAAAAAGTTTAAAATACAACTACCGTATGATCCAGCAATTGCACTACTGGGTATTTACCCAAAGGATACAAAAATACTGATTTAAAGGGATACATGCACCCCAATGTTTATAGCAGCACTATCAACAATAGCCAGTTATGGAAAGAGCCCAAGTGTCTATCAACTGATGAATGGATAAAGAAGAAGTGGTGTGTATATATACACTGGAATATTACTCAGCCATCAAAAAGAATGAAATCTTGCCATTTGCAACAAGGTGGATGGAACTAGAAAATATTACGCTAAGCAAAGTCATTCAGTCAGAGAAAGGCAAATACCATTGGTTTCACTCATATGTGGAATTTAAGAAACTAAACAGATGAACATATGGGGAAAAGAGAGAGAGAGAGAGAGAGAGAGAGAGAGAGAGAGAGAGAGAGAGAGA